CTGGAAAACCAAAGCAACGAGCTAAAAGATGCCCTGTAGACTTGAGAGGAACAGCAGAGACGAGAGATTATCCTCTCTGGGTTTGTCACTACTAGATTCCCCTTACGCAGTACTGAACAGCCCAACCCGCTCATGCCTCCCTGTCCAAGCAGGTAGGAGAACCTATAGTGGCCCTCAGGTGTATTTGCGCCAACAAATTCAAGCTGTCACTTCGATGTATAAATGTGAAAAGCCCACTTTAAAGGGAAAGAAGGACTCATAAGCTAACAAAAACACAATGATTCTTAGTTTTAGGTGATACTCTAATCAGAACATAATTCTGAGTATCATATTCCATATCTGCTAGTAAATCCCCCAAAATTCTCAACACTGGTCCTTTAAGCTTTTACTATATTCAGAGTGAATCTATGATTCCGATGTTGCCTGCACAGGACTCTCAACATGGAGGTGGCTGAGTCGGCAGCTAGCAGCTAACAGTGATAATAGTGTGAATGGTGCTAACAATGTTAACAGTGCTGACAGAGCAAATGGTGTCAACCAAGGGGCAACTGATCCTCCAGTTGCCCCTTGGTTGACACCATTTGCTACACTTCGGCAACAACACAGTAACCGGTGTATGAACACAAGCAAAGTGGCAGCGATTAGCTAGCCTGTGTGACACACTCAAAGAGACTCACATGCACTGTGCGGCCAGATCTTCCAGCACAACAAAAAAACAGAGAAGCTCGGATTACAACACACAGAAAGGTGCAATGACTTCATTCTCTGCTTAGGATGCAATTACTCCAATAGATCTCTACATAGCTAATAGTTATTTGCTGCTGTTTTGATGCTATGAATGTCGTATAACAGCAGCCAATCAGCACATTGCTTTATTAGACTGAAACACACTTTGTAGCTTCACATACGTCTATGAGATGTAGCTGTATTTCTAAGCCATTGTAATCACCCTAAACACAGCTTACTGTAGTGTTTTGCTCAAATACTGACATTAGCCGCCATGGGGGCATGACCCAGTGATCTTTTGATTGGTCGGGTCAGGTCAGGTCAGAACCTCTCCCACCACTGCCACACAGCTATTTAATGGCTTCATTGTTTTCTTGATTTAGACAGGCTCAAGTGATTCAAGCTCTTTGGGATGCTGATTTGACCTTTTCATCACTGTTTCACTAGAGAGAAAATGCTTGGAAATCCGGACTAATCCCCTGTTTAGACAGCCGTAAAATTTGTAATGCAGCTCATACAGCATGATATATCCTCTCGGTTTGACTATTCATAAGTTCAAAAAGGCCCTCAACTGAAATGGATCATTGGCAAATGTTTGGACTGAAGAGGACTCTGCACACTGGTTCACACTACAGTGCTAGTGTGGTGGGGTCAGTACAAGGTGAGAATGACTGAGTATACATTACAGTGACTTGTTACGCCCAAAAGGCCTTGTCATTGCGGAAATCAATATTTTCAGATTTAATTAAACGCTTGACTCCAGCAGCAGCAGTATGATGGGACACTGCTTTTGCATGGTTGTCCTCTTTTTTGAAAAATGATGTTTCACAGACTTTGTAGATTCTTGCCATTTACAGTAAGCTCCCCAATTTAAAAGTGTCGAATAAACAAATTGGAAATATGATAGAGATTGAGGTCAGCAGTGTAGTCGCATACTGGATCAATATCAAGCTCTAAGTTGGGAACATTTGGAGAAATCTAAGAAATTATGACATGAAGTTGAAGTCTATAAATTGACATGACAATGCTGATAGCAGTTCTGTTAAAATAATTTTTAAGACATTTCCAAAACTTTAACCTGAAAATATGCTTCCAACTACTGCTACAGACCGTAGAGCACTGCAGGGATGAGTGTTTTTTTGTGGGCCAATGTGGAAGTTAGCGCCACCCGGTTTCCTTGTCAAAAAGTCAGTTCATGTTGTTGAACTGATGTATTGCATTTATTTTGAAAGAGACAGTATGTAAATTGTAAATTTCCTGTGAAAACGGGAGTATATTTTGGAAAAAGACAATGCATGGAACAGAGTACCTTTCATGTTGTTTGTGGTCGTGGAAGGTCCATGACCAAATGTCCATATGTGACAAAGTCGGAGTGAGAAAGTGTTGGCTAACAACATAACTTGCTCTTGTTTAGCGGCTAATGTTTACCATGTTCACCACGTTAGGTTAGTGTGGGACTTTTAGTCTCTAGTATAAGTCAAGTCCACAAAAACTGGATCCTACATTTCCCATAATTCAATCATTAGCATAATTTAGTTTCACCTTCCTTATAATGTCCTTGCCAAGCCAAGATAACCCTAACTGTGATATCACCAGGGTTAGGTTTCCTTACTTAGAAAACTCCTTTGAGAGCCATAGAGGACACTGTGCTACTTTTTTCAAAGACTGAGTAGTGCTCAGTAAAAAGACTTTAAGTGTGAAATTGGAATTCCCCTTTAATTATGTATTTTTATTGAAACTGATGGAGTCAATTCATTTCCAGGTCAGCCAGCACCAAGTGCAACAAAAATTAATTATTATGTCCAGGATTTGGAGATGTTTTGCACTGCAGAAAGTGAATTATGCAGAACAAATTATTATTATTAGTAGTAGTATTTTTGTTATCAAGCAACCTCTCCTCAGAAACAAACTCACTGAGAATAACAAGTGTTGTTGAGGCAAACACTGAGTGTTTTCTGATCTTTCTTTGGTTTCTGCTCATTATCTTGTTTATTCAAGTGTTCACACACACTGGTAATGTCACCATGTTCCACCTCAGGATCGCAAAGTGAATTAGAATTTAGTCCTGTTCCTGGCATTCAAACTCACACTCCTCTAATCATGCATGTGCCATCTTGTCATCATAACTGTTGACAACAAAGATCTAAGGGAAATAGACATCAGAATATTCTGGTTTTTTTTCCCAAATATTTGCTTATTCCTCTGTGGTTTAATTTTATGTGATCATTTCCTCAGTTAAGTTATGATATCTAATTATTGGACTTTGGCAGACATACAAACACAAACTCTCACACAGCAATATGCATGCATTCTTGTAGTGTTTTTGTCACGGAAATGACCCAGAAATTTATTGATCAAATTATGCTTGGTATCAAACAGTTAAGTGATCATTTTTGTGTTGACAGTGTCCTTTATTGTGTTGTGACCTCTTTTAATATTTCAAGTGATTGGTCATTTTCATAATAGCCCAGTGTAATAGGATAAAACTGACAGAATGCCACCATGTTTTCATATCATGTCATATCACTTATCTGTGGGAGGATGACACAGTCCTGGTTCTGGGAAGCTGAGACTTCAGCTGTCTGAGTAAGACAAATATATGCTCTAAATTTATATTCTTTTTGTTATTAAATTTCCTATTTTTATTTCTTCAGGCAGTGTTTCCTTGCTGAGCTGTGAAGGAGGGTAACACACAGGGAATTTCATGCTAAAAAAGTAACCTCGGAAGATATACCACTGGATTTGGCTAGTTCAAGCAACTGAAGCCTCAGATTAGCTCCAGCTGAAATCCACAGTGCATTTTTGTAAAGACTGAAGTCCCATTAAGTGCCTCTTGTTCCACGAAAAAACAAAAAACCCCAGAAAAAACAGGACTCTGTGCAGAATTCAGAGCACACGAATTGTTGCAGCGCTAACCAGGGGTGAACCTGAGGGTTGGTGCTAAGCTTCCACTTTGACACTGTCCCAGTATTAAGCAGGATTTAGACTTCTGTATCGAATCGATGTCATACCAGCCTACGCTGTACCCTACACCATAGCCTGACATGCAACCCCCCATAAATGTAACAACAGGTCGCGGCGATGCAGACCTCCTGTTTATTTTTGTAAGCTGAAAATTTCCCTCAGTGGAAACAAAGCTTTTATTTACTTTAATTTCCCAGATGAGAAACAATAAATTGTGGAGACAATAAAGCCACCACAAAATATAATTTTAAGTCTTGTGTGTGATTTATTCTAGCTTCAATCTCACCTATTTGAAGATAAGACCCCACACTTGGGAAATTCACATTTTGTAATGTTACCATTGTCAAATGTTGCTTTTGTCCCTGGCTTCAGTTGAGTAGAGGAAAAGTCCGCTAGCCCCTAGGCTAATTTATACAGTGTAAAATGCCATAGGCTTGTGCTAAAAACATTAGCATGTTGTATTTGTGGGGGAAAAAGTATCCAGCTTTTGAAAAATGCTTTGTCTGTGAATGCTGCCAGTTATAGTGAAGCCAATTTGTGTACTTGTGTTTGAAATTGTTGCTATTAAGCCATGTTTAATGGGTGTTTAATGTGTGTTTTGAATCAGCTAAACATAAGAGCACATCACAGAAACCCCAATGCTGACTAGTGTTTTAGAGGTGTAACAGACACGTCATCCGAGAATAAATGCTCACGATGGCGTAGGTCACGTGCATAGGCTACGGCATAGGCTCTGCATAGAGGTGACACACAAGTATAAATCCCGCTTTAGAGGAAACTGCTATATAGGTGCCGTGAAAAGTGGTGGCAATGAGCTAGCCAGTGGGATGCATGTGTGGATGGACCGGCTTACCAAGACAAACCACAGAGAATCTGGAACCACAACACACACAGAGGTAGTGTGACTTCTGTGCTCAGGACGTCATTATTTCACTATATCTTTACATAGCAAATAGAGGCTTGCTGTATTGATGCTCGGAATATTGTATACAGAACCTTTAAGGTTACAGATGTGTGACCTGACTGCCCAGACTAGAGTGGTGTGTTGAATCTGTGTAAGATTTGAGTCACTTCTGAATCTGCTGCAGAAACTTTGCACAAACATTTTTAGTGGTGCCTGCAAATATACATATTATGCAGGGCTGTGGCTAGACTACTACCCAGCTAATCAGTTCAATCAAATATGATTATGTACTGCAGTCAATTAGCAGAGCATTTAGTGAAAATAGCATCTTAATTTTGAAAATATCCTCAACCATAACTGAGCTAAGAGTTCTTCGTCATCCATAGAAATGATACAGACATTCCTCTGAGCATTTGCCAGTCAAGTTTTATTTCATCTTTGAGAAAAAAAAATGAGAAAAGAAAAGTTTGGTCTTTGTAAACATCTATATCGTTTTTCATGTCATGTCATTTTCTTCGTTTAAAAATACTTTACTCTTTACTACGACAGTTCCAACATCAACACTGTATTCAGAATGAGCTTAATTCATGCATCGACACACTCGTGAATGGAATGATATGAAGAAATGCACACGTCCACACACACGCTCGCATTCTCTCTCTCTCTCTCTCTCTCTCTCTCTCTCTCTCTCACACACACACACACATACACACACAATAAAAAGGATAAGAGCACACTTATTGTAATTTGTTACTAGGCTAATTTGCTGTTCTACTCTCTGAGGGCTTTTTATTTTTACAAAACAAATCACCAAAACAACACAAACAATGGAAACATATCGACCATAAGAGTACAATAATAAAATAAATGGAAAAATTAAAATACCAGATATTCATATCAAAAGCACTTTGTGACTTCATAAATAGGGCTGCATGATATATCAATAAAATGAAGAATATGAAGTGATAAAATATATAAATATTTAGAAAGTAGAGAGCAATTGAGTGGCTAATAGTAGAGAGAGGGAGAAAAGAAAGGTAGAAAATAAAAAACACTTATAAATAGCGGCTGATTAACACAATTCTCTCTCTCTCTCTCTCACACACACACACACACACACTGGCACACACACATTCTTCGGATGTTTCCAAATCTAAAATGTGATTTTTTTAAAACTTGTTCAGCATTATTTTTGAATTCAGAAACCAAATCCTTTACATTACATCTTTATGTTTCCCAGAGCATACAACGGCATTGAAGAAATTAACTCATTGTTGTGCATCACTGCAGCTGAATGTGCAGAGTCAGCAGGGCTGTGGCTAACACCCAGGACACTGAGGTCATGTCCTTGGTGATTTTCCCCTGAATTTCGGGGTTTTAGCAGATTGGGAGGGGTGACATTCAACCATTAAATACATGCCAGGTTTTATCTGACTCAATATGTTTAAATTTTACGTCTTATATGGTAACAACATCAAAATAATTAAAGGTATACGATGCAGGATTCTCATATAAAAGAAGTACAGAAGTAATCCCTCTTGATCACCACTTATGACCCACTGGAAGTGTGTGGTGGTGTATTTTTTGCTGTATTTTTTCTGTATAGCGTTTACTGGCGAGTGGCAACCGACAATCCTGCATAGTATACCTTTAAATTACAAAAAATGTATTAGGTATAATGTAAATATGACAGCAGCTACTGTCATTAACAATTAAAGGTGTGCCAGAATACAAATAAATATTATATTTCAAACTTAGATACATATAGTGATGTCTGTAAACACCCCTAACATACACATACTCATATGCACAGCAAAAACAAGCAACCATGTACTTACAGAGTGAAATAAATACATTTCAGTTTTCATCCCACGTCACTGTAGTCTTTTTCTAACTAAACTGAAGTGTGACATTACTGGAAAATAAGAATAGTTTAATAGACTGTAAAGATTCAAACATGCCCAAGCTACCAAGTACCAGCAGCGTGTCGATCCTCTGGTTTTCTGCATGTACAGTACATTTGTTTATATTTATGTGTGCATGTGAGTGTGTGTCTGCTAGCCATCAGCCAGTCAGTGTGTGGAGTCAGCAACCTAAATGTATGACAGTTTCTCACATACTATACACACACAGATGCACACGCACACACAAACACACACACCACACTTCTTCAAGCAGTGTGCCACCATCTATTCCCAGTCTTGATCACCAGCCAGATCTATTATATATCTAATCTGATTCGACAGGCACACACACACACACACACACACACAGCAAGGGAGAGTACCAGGCACAATCTACCTGCCTCTCTCTCACTGTCACACACACACACACACACACACACACACACACACACACACAAGGAAGGGAATCCAATTTCCAGGCATTTTTTACTGTGGGTCAGGTTGGCATTCTAATTCATTAATCTAGCATATTGGACTCAGCCAGGGACACACAGGGACGAGCCCTTATAAGGAGATTACAACACCAACCGACACAAACAAACACAAGCACACAAAGGCACAAATACGCATGTAGATCTACACACAATGGATACACATGCAGACAAGGGGAGGCACAAGAAACATAAAGTAAAAGAAACACACGTAAAAAAAAAAAAACTGAACATATGAAGAGTAATATATGTTGAGATTCACCCGCAGAGAGAGAACATATGAATGAGAAACTATATTGTCACATTCACTGAAGAAGAAGGGCAGGCATACAAAGTGAGAAACATCAAAAGACGATCACACACACACACATACGTCTCACACACACCAGCAACAGTCAAGAGGACAACGGCTTGCAGATAGATGGTCGCTAAGCAACAGGCAAGAGACTAAAAATATGGTTGCATTTCTTCACTCACTTAGAAAGCATGCACACACTCAGATGCACTCACACACTCAGTCGTCCTCCAGCAAGGCTTATCAACCTTTAAAAAGCCTACATTTCTAAATCAGTCCCAGTATTCCTGTGTTCCTGTGGCGTCAGCAGTACTATTATCCAGCCCACTCATTCTTAAACTGGCAACTGTTACGGAAGCTTAAGTCATTGAGAAACAGAGTTTGGCCCGGCAGACGTCCTGGCGTCTCGAAAGGCCAGGAGACGTGCCAACGTGCCAGTCATGTCAAAACTGGTGGCTGGCTGATGACCTTCGTCACAGAGGGTTTACTCCTACGTTTTAGGATACTACAGAAATGAATGGATTTGGATGGTTAGTCAGACAGTTTCAGCTCATTCACCATGTCAACAAGCATCCAGGGCTGTAGCTATGATTCAGAACACTGAGGTCATGTCTTTCGGGGTTTTCAGGGCATTTTAGAGATTGTGAGGGACATAACATTCTAGAAACCTCCATGTGGCAGGTCTTTCGCAGCCTGAATTCAGTGTTTTTAGCCATGCTAGCAGCATGGCTTTAGGGATGACAACATTGGTTTGGTCCAGACTGATATAGCTCTGTAGCTATTCGGTATATTGCACTGAAACTTTGTACAAACATTCATGTTGCCAGGACCAAGGACTTTGGTAATTTCATGACTTGTCTGTCTAGCATCACCATGAGGTTCATTTTTGTGGATTTGAGTAAAATGCCTACACACATGAATGAATGGATTGCTATGAAATTTGGTTCTGACATTTGTCAAAGTCAATGCAAAATCCAGAAGGCCTTATAGGAGGCCTCGAAACCTCCATGAGAGAAAAAGGTCAGATATTAACCCTGTTGAATCACAAACACAAAACGAGCAAAACAAAGCAGCACCAGAAGAACCTAATAAAAAGACAGAACCACCGAAGATCCAGAAGAAGAAAAAGAGGAGGAGGAACTGGAGCTGATGATCGATTACCTAACCTGCATGTCACTAATAAGTGACCTGTCACCACCACAGGCAGAGCCAGGGCCCAGTGGCGAAGAGGAACCACCAAAGGAGAACAACATCAGGAAATGAAAGGACGGGTGGAAAGTACAGGCACTGCTGAGTAGACACCGATGGCTGGTGAAAACGGGAAGTACCTGAATTAAAATAGATCGTTTGATTAACAGATCAGCAAAGCTCAGCAAAAATGGGTTCATGACCAGGGTTGCTTGGGGGTAGCCTACTGAAGTACTGAACTTTTAGGAAAGGACACAAAGTTTTGGTCATGTAGCACTTGTTTATCATAGCAAAGGTGATCATGCTATGTGTGACTTTTCATTTCGGGGCAGTAAAGAAGGAGATCTGATGAAGGATGTCCATGTAGGAATAGAGAAAAAGGTATAAAAACTCAAGGTTTTAGAGAAGAACGGATCCCCTGATCATTTGGGACACTTTGCCGCTCTGAACAAGAATGGGAGCTGAACAATTCTCCACATGATGATTTGTACAGGAACCACTTTGGTGAACCCTTTGATTGCGCTATCATCAGCTGAAAATTCTAACTTGTCCAGTACTTCTGTTTTTGACCAAATACATGCTAAACTATTGACATTCCTGTCAGCCTCAGATGCAAGTTGTTTAGTGCTAATTGAAAAATGCTAGCATGCTGACACACTTAACTAAGACAATGACCCTGGTGATGAGCATGTTAGCATTTTTAGCATGCTAACATGCTGACGTTAGAATTTAGTTCGAACAATGCTGTGCCTAAGCAGTAGCTTCACGGAGCTGTTAGCTTAAAAACAAATGAGTCAGTAATGTTGAGGCTTTAAACATTTCAATCTGCATGTAGGAGAGTAACTTCAAATGGAAATATAATGGAACAGCTAACCGAACGCTCGCTTTGGGGTTCGAGAAACTTTTCTGTGGAGTGTAGGGAGTAGGGGGGACTCAGACTCATGACCTCAGTGCTTATAAATCCTGGCTACAGCTTTGCAAGCACTTAACATGCTGATCCCTGTGAGCTCTCAGGCAGCTCCTCTGTGAGGAGGAAACTCTGGGCGTGCCATTTTGTCTAATATCTAGACAGCAATGTTAAATATTTGCAGCCAAGAAATATTCCTTTGAAATCGAACATCATGGCAGGTGGCCAAACTCCTTCTATCAATGAATCTTGGCTGAGCTTGTCTGAAATCAGCTGATGCAGCAGCTTTGAGCTGGAAAACAGTTGTTAAATGAATCACAGTAGGATTCACTGCACCTTTGTACGATTAAAGATTGGAATATTTCTCCTTTCGTTCCTTTATAGCTGTCAGAAAGTGCAAGGAAGGGGTGAAGCATACAGGCATTTTCACCCAAGCGGATCAATGCCCCTCTGCTCCAAATCGCCACTTATCTTCCATTTGTGGGAGCACTGACTCTGCCAAGGCTGAATCGGACAAGCTCGTGTTGTGTTTAGTCTGGTCACAACTGAGCTGGCTCGGTGAAGCCTGCATTTACATTGAGCTGAAAGCAGCTGGTAATTTGTCCATATTCAACAAGGCGGATGGTGAGCAGGTAAATTGTTGTTTTCAGTCCCATTTTTCTCTTAGTGAACAAAAAGCTAAATTATTGTTTTCTTTTCAGGATTTTCCTTGAAGTTGACAGTGAGCTCCGTGGGCAGTTAAGGGAGGAATGGTTGCAGAGTTTTTCCTTCTATGCTGTTGTTAACAAATGGAATACACTCAATAGTTACTTGCACTGACAAACCATATGCCATCCCTTCTGTCCAGCTGCAGCCCGGCCCCTGGGCAAGACAGGGGTATCAACACAGACATAATATAACTCTGGATTCCACACAAACACTAAGAATATGATTGATATGTGGCATAATATCGTCATTTTAAGCTATTCTGATATCTTACTTTCACTTTCACACACAATGCCTGAATCAACAAATGTTTCACAAAAACAAAATAAATACCACAGCTTCAGATACAGGCTCGTACCCATATAAATACCAATAATTAAGCACATTTATCTGTAGTGTGAACACCTTTATGAATTTAAATGTGCCAGTTTTTTTTCAACTACAACTGACAGCTTGTGGGGCTTGTACAACACCTGCGAGGTAAAACTGCACACTGAAAAATGAATGGTGATCTGTGACAGTGTTTTTCTATTAAATCTCTGGACAACAGAGGACTTGTGATGTGTGTTTTGAATACAAAGAAATGTCCCAACGTTACAACTGCTGCCGAACAGTCGTGTGATATTTCAGAGCTGCCGTACATTTTCACTCAGAGCGTTCGACTCTCCTCTCTGCCTGTGAACCATCTCAGGTTTAGACATCTTACAGCCTTTTTTTTCCTTGCGATGGATTTCCTTAACATGTCTTCCTGAACTGTGTTTCAGAGGAAAAAGGGGATCACGTGGATCGTCCTGTTCCTCTTCCAGGGTTTTCTTTACAAAGAGGGGAACTTCACATAAATTAAATATCAGTGTTTTCTCACACACATCAATAAAAGTTTCTTATGTTACCATGTACAATTAGAAACACTGGGTATGGTCATAGTTTTGATTTGTCATCAACAACAATGTCATAACCATTGGTCTTTGTCAAGGTCACAACCAGTGAGATCCTTCATTCTGATTCGTCCAACCTTGTTTGTTGATGTCTCTTGGTTCATTTCCTGTTTGGCTCCAGTTCTGCTTGTTCACATGTTCATTTCCTCGACATTTAATGCAACATTAGAGTGTAAACAGCACAACGTGTAGTGCACAACGCTTCTTCATTGCAAGAAAGACAACTATTACTAGGTGGACTGCTTGCTCGTTGGTTCTCCAGATGTTTCTAATCTTCACTCTGTTTATCAAACATTTCTTTTGCTCCGTCTTCCAACTGTTGAGATTTCCTCCTGGTGCTAATCCAACGTCTTGATCCTCCACGTTACATTCCATCTTCCAAACCACCTGCTTTTTCATCTCTATCCCTCCATACAATATTTATATGTCTCTTTATTTATTTATTTTTTTTTTACAATTGCACGGTAACAACATCAACACGTAACGCCATTGAAAAGTTTAGAAAAAAAGGAGGGGGATCCATAGCGGGATAAACGAGGCTGTTGATTGGCGTAAAAGGAAAGGGACTTGGGATTGGCTCAATTAAAAAAGAGGACTGGTTGGTGGTGACTACAGCGTTTCGTTATCACAACTTTAAGACAATTCCTACAGGGGAGATAAGAGTAAGGCAAGAGGGAGGGATGGAGGAGTGTGTAAAGTCTGCAGATTGTTTGTTGGGAAGGGGGTGTACAGTTTGTGTGTGTGTGTGTGTGTGTTGTGGGGTGGAAGGACTATTTCGCACAGTGTTTTTTAAAAAGAGAAGGAAAAAAGTTGTCTGTTTTGATCTTGCCTGTTCGCCCGCAAGTTAGTGAGTGGTCCTCCACTGCAGATTCACCTGAGGGCCCCGAAGTGTGTGTGTGTGTGTGTGTGTGTGTGTGTGTGTGTGTGTGTGAGAAGAGGGGTTAAAAGAAATAAGTCACTGGTAGTATTAGATAGAGTTCAGTGGGTACAGTATGATAGGAGGATCCACTGTTCCCGTGACGACGAGAGACAGCAAAGATGGACGGAGCGAGAGAGAGAGCGTGAGGAGGGCGTGTAGAATAATATTTTCCCCATCTTGTCTTCTTCTTTTACTTATTTCTGTCGTATTTTCTCAAGTCTCCCCATTGACTTTATCCAGACCTTTCTCTAGTGTTGTTGCCTGCAGCCTCCTCTCTTAGCTTTCCCTCTTTTATCTTTCACCCCTATCCTTCTTCTTCATCCTCACTGTTCCCCTCGGAGGCCGGCTAAAAGCTCTCCTCACTGTCTGTCTCTTCTTCTCTCCTGCTGGTTTGCCATTATACTGCAACGATATTAGCCTTATATTAACCATTAAACTGTGTTTCCCACGGGTGATGATGGATGAGGTAACATAAAAGCGCTCCTTAAGACCTGTGTTGCATTTTTCTCATTAATTCTCTCTGTTAAATAACTCTAAATTCAAAGAGTTAACGTATCCTACAAGTTTCTCCATCACTGGACAGACAGAAGGTCTGCTAAAGCAAAAAGAATGTTTGGATATATTTGAGGAGTTTTAATGTTTCATACTGGTATACACTCGTTTTCAGTAAATAAATAAATAAATGGAAAGAGAAAAATAAATCTATCTGAAACACTGGAAATTTTGGACTTTAAAAAAAGGAGAAAATTGAAAAGATCTGCTGACTCCATAAAAATATCAAAATCGGCCCATATTGATCCACCTCTACTCCTCATCTCTCATCATCCTGTCTTCCTCCAGACTCCTCCAACCCTCCCTCTCTCTTTCTCTTCATATTGGCAGTGGGTCTCTCACCCTCCCCTTTCCTCTCCGTTTAAAACCCTGGTAAATGGCAGTAGGCCTCCAGTGAAGCCAGCAGGATGTAAATCAACCACATTGAGACGAACAGCAGCGACGTTAGCATCTTGCAAGTCCGCGGCCCACCCAGCTCGCCGCCGGCCACCGTCGCCCGCCGCCGGTACAGCAGTGTGACTACGCACAACACGGCCAGGATGGTGAAGAGGGTGACGGAGAAGGCCAGGTTTCCTGGGTCCACCTTGAAGGCCTGGCCCTTGGAGCGCCAGGCGATGGCAGCGATGGTCCATGCTACGCCAATGCCGAGGAAAACGTTGACGGCATTGGAGCCGGTGACGTTGCCAATGGAGGCGTCAGCGTACTGGTCTTGGATGGCGGCGACCTTACTGGCGAATGTGTCTGGATGAGAAAGACAAAACATTAACAGTCATTTTAAGGCTTCATCTTCTTTGATAGCACATTTTTTTGATCACAGTCATTTGGCCTCACTTTTATGAAGTTTATTCTTTTGTCATTATTTTTAAAACCTTTTAGCTTGTGTAAATCATACAAATAAAATGTTTTCACAGCTGATAAGACTGAGAGCAAAAGCAGCATGCAGGAAACATAAAAGTTAACAAAAGAAAAAAAACTGTAAAGCAACAGTGAAAATCAGTCTCATGAAAATGACTTCTGATGATCTTTTTTAAACGTCTTTCTCACTGAGCTAAGAAGTAAATAACTTCAAGGTAACATTGTATATGAAACCACCCACGTATAGCACTCACACAGGGACGTACAAACACATGACACACATGTATTCAATGCAAAGAGAGAAGAGAAAAGATGTACTGGGTATAATAAACAGGCACTATGAACCAGTTGACATAAAGGATATCATTTACATTCACTTGGTTAATGTTATTTCTCATCTATGTGCTGGAAACGAAACACATAAATATGACTTGGGTTACTTCCAGAAGATTCACAGTTCCGTTTTGTAATCCGCAGTTGTACATTGGCATCAGCCTAAACCAGGACAGATGTAATTAATGCTGTAAAATGCTGTAGGTGCACATGAGTGGAGCTCTTTGGTGCTGAACATTTGAGGAGAAATTGGGTGAAAAGCGCAGAGACTCCACAACTGGGTTGGCAGGGAGCACCAGGGAAACAGCTGCCAGTTACTCCACGCTTGTCTCGGCTTATTTCTATTTTTAGACGGGCTGCTGAGATGAGTCTCAATTCTCATTTGAATGTCAGTGAGATTAGTTAAAATTCATATCCCAACATGAAAAACATCCTCCAAACTTTCTTGGGGGAGGGGGTGTATGTTGTAATCCCGTGGGTTGCAGACCGCACAAAAAGAAATGAAAAGATTGTGTGTTGACGCACGGGTACACCAGATTGTGGGTTTGAATCTGAGTCATGAAACTGCACATTATTGCCTCTACTCACATACACACACTTCTAACTAATGCTGGCCACATAGAGGAAGATCATACCCAAATTTAGAAACCAATTGTATCACACTGTACATTTACCAAATATTATTTTTTCCCCAGTTGTGTATAACCTTCTCAAAGACCCAAATTAGACACTATAGTATTTGTTCAGAAACAGCGTAGCCTGATTCCCTACCTCTGATTTGCTGCTTATGTCTCCTTTTTTCAGCAAATAGCAGGTGACTCTAAACAAAACCCAGGTGATTTCTAAATGTTAAAGGGCTTATGTTGGCAATCTGGCTAAGAAAGTTTTGAAGATGAAACTGATTCTCCCTGGTAAAACAGCAGACAAGTTGATCCCAGAAATGCCAAACTAATACCCTATTCTAATACGCTATTCCCACCAAAATTAGCACATATCTGTGGGGTTGCCAGTAGACCAGTTAGTGTTTCCACCCAGATGTCATATTTCTATTACTGCCAATTGTATCCGAACTGGAGCTAATGAATAGCTGTGACTCCTGCAGTCATTTGTCCAGCAGATAAACGTCAACTGTGACTTTTCCTATGAAGGATGCTAGGCGTTTTTTTGTCCAGTGAGAAAAAGTTACTGGGATTAGTAACTGTACTGTAATTTCTGAATTTTACATTTGAATCCCTTACTCTATTTGCTACTTAATAATGTGATTGATAAATGACTGTAACTAAGTCATGTGTAACTGGTCTACACTGGTCAACGTCAGAAACATTGCAACCTAAAACTTTAGCTGTTCCACAATGTCAGTTTAAAGTCCAGTACGTACAATTCAAGGGCTGTATTGGCAGACATGGCATATAATATTCATAGCTATGTATTTGTTAGTGTATAATCACCTGAGCCTAGGAATTGTTGTGTTTTCATCACCTTAGAATGAGCTGTTTATATCTACATACTGAGTGTGTCCTCTTCCACGGCCAAGTTGTTTCTGCAGTACCCTAGAACCAACAAACCTAATGCTGGCTCTAGATAGAGTCATTCATGTTTTTGCATTGGCCAATGTAGTTCTCCTACATGCTTGGCACACGAGAAAAGTTTCACTTGGTTGCAATCTGCAACCTCACCACTAGATGCCACTAAATTCTACACACTGGACCTTTAAAAATACACTATGATTGTCAGTTACTGTTACTATGAATATTATATATTATAAGGACTATTTTTCCAGTAGAAAGCAGTCCTAAACAAAACTGTCAATGTACCGTTGTTGTGCTGGGATGGAGGCAGACATTTTTACCTAGGGTGGACAGACTCTTTAACAATCATGTTCTATTAATGTCTTAAGTGTGACATCAATCAAAAACCAAGACTCTCTCATTCCATTCACAGATAAACTCAAGCTAGTACTGTAGCAGTGTGTGAGATCAAGACTTTAAACCAGTGAGAATCTGTGATCTCTACAGGACTTGTTTATCACCAACGCAAAAATCACATACTGTTTTAACACCGCTGATACTGTTTAAATGGCTCGGATGGTTACAAATGAGCTCCATAAACCTCTTAAACACCCCGAAACTTGTAGCAGCTCCCAGTGTCAAACCTCCGATCAGCATTTGCTCTCTAATTGCCTGAATCGGCAAATCTGGTGTAAATTGGCTGGATAATCCTCCAGTGCGTCTCCGATGTAATAATGCAGAAATGCTTTTATAAATCTGGAGGAGGGAAGAGTGCAAGTCAGAGAGGAGGGGAACAAGAGAGGAGATGAATGTTTCTAATGAGCTTTAAGGAGACACACATATACACACACATACACACACAAGGGAGCACACACTCCCAGTGAAAGTTATAATGACCTGAGGGACCTGCCGCAAACTTGCATCACCTCGACAGAGCAAACACATTTTCACCCACACACACCTGGGTACCACAGCACACAGGTCAGGATGATGGATGATACAATAGTGAAAACACAACATCCAATAAGAGGAGGGGGGAGGAGAGCAAGAGACAGAGGTAACACCAAGTCAGAATTATAAATTGACCGGGATGGGGTGTGAGAGCAAGGATAACAGATAAGTGAGGTGGGATGTGAGACTGAGGGAGGAAGGAGGACGAGAAAATGGTGATAAAACAAACAAGAGAGAAAGAGATTCGGAACAGAAAAAGCAAGAAAAAGCCAGCAAATTAACATCATCATGTCATGACAAACAAACTGGTAATGGATATCAAATCTGTGTTTACAGCCTCCAAATCCAACACACAACATAATATGGCTGCTGAAGGAATTGATTCAGACCTCGCCGCGAGCCATCAAAGTTACCGCCTGGAAGAGTAGCAAAGGAGCTATTTCTATAAATCATACGAAGGGGCGACAATAAAACGGCTGGCGAGAGGAATGAGAAAGGGAATTGAATTAAAGCCCTGGGACAACGCGTCCCCACAAGCTCAGACTGAAGGCTGTGATGGAGCTGGCATTTTACAATTCAATTTTTATTTCCAGCCTACTTACTGAGGGCGGCTGCTATTGAAATCAGATGGAGGAGAGAGGATCAGTCCTCTTTCTTTTATGTGTTTGTTTGTTGCCCTGTCATATCGGAAATTTGGGAAGAATATGCATCTCATTTGTTTAGTGCTGTTTTTGTAGGGGGAGTTTTTTATAGTTGAAAAAAGAAAGCTTGAATGTTACGTAAAATCAGCAAGGAAGCATTTACAATGACAAAAATGGACACTGCTTTGCCTCCATCAATCTACACACACATCAAACCACCCCCGCTCACCTGGCACCGATGTTCCCAGTGCCACAAACACCACAGCCGTCACAGAGTCCTTCAGTCCTATTGTGCAGCCGAAGTGTGACGCCAGATCACCAGTGACTGCAGTCAGGACACCGATAAGCGATATGGAGACAATGAAGCAGGCCCAGCCGTTCCAGTACTCCGTGGGCGGGACGAAGGCGAACAGAACCTTCCAGAAGACGGTGAGGAAGTGCATGATGTAGTCGAAGCAGGACGGCAGACGCTCCTCGCCGCTCTCCTCCTCGTCGTCGTCTCCTTTGGGTGCAGAGGGTGATTCAAATGTTGATGGAAGAGACAGATAGAGAGGAAAGCAGAGAGATGATTGAAAGAAGGTGACAGAGGGAAGTGACTGACAACTTTTAGAAACAATTTATGCTAATACCATAAAATAAAAAGCTATCAGATTCAAGAATTAGTTCAACATTTGGTGACATATCAGGCCCCCAGGAAGTGCAGCAGACTTTGAAGCCCATTTTCAGAGTGGCCACACGGTGGAATTACGTCTAGGGCCATCACATGATGCCATAGGCCGAACAACATTTTCCCCCATAGACTTACATTGTGAGAGAGGCGTCTGTAAATCAGCAGTTAAACTTTTTTGTGCGTCACCCCTACAAAGTGAAATGTCTCACTACCGGGACTTGATCCATTTGATCCGACAACACTTCGAAAGTCTAGAAGAGCCACGTGATTAAATAATTCTATCCCAATTCAAATTACTGGAGGGCTGAATTGGTTAGTTAGCTGCTCGGCTCACGAAAAGTCTCTAGTGCACTTGCTATAGGCCCAATGACACAGAAAATATGAGTAATTTTACACCTAGGAAATTGACATTTTTTGGCTTCATGCGCCACTGAGCAACTATTGTAGGAATGAATGGGCCCCCACCTTGAACGCTGTATCCAGTTCTCTTTATACAGCCATGCGAAATACGCACATGCATTTTCTTGCTTAGAGTTAAGCTGCCAGTATACTTCTTCAGGACTGCTTGTCAGATGGTCAGATAGCTTTAGAAATTCATTCACCTTCAAAGGAGGAATTGGGGGAGCTGTGTTCAACTATTTCTTTCCAAAACCAATTCGTCATTGACACCCACTTCACGCCTTGATTAGCTAACTGTGCCAATGACTCAGACAACACATCGTACAAACTAGTTCTTTTTGAGGATACTGGCCCTTTGAGAAGAACACTGACACCACTCTCATATCTTTCTGCTGAGCATAGGGCTAGAGCCAGGTGGTGATTACCTTAGCTTAGCATAAATACTAAAACTAGTAAGCCACCCTGGCAAAGGAAAAACGTCCATCTGCCAGCATCGTTAAAGTTCACTGATTAGCAGGTTCCTAGACAAACAGAAATGTTACATCCTGTAGGCAAATTTATTTGCCCATAGATGGTAAAGAAATAACCCACCTTACTGTGCCTCTGATTGGCTTACCCTGACATTCATACCCTATTCTGAACCAGTTTCACCCCTCTTGCCTAAACAAAGGCAACAAGTACTGGCCATTCAGAAGGAGAGTAGTTAATATCTCTGCAAGTAACTCCTGTAAAACCACAAATTGTCATTTTAACATTCCTTTTTGAGTTTCAATTAGACAAGCAAAATACAACATCTTTGTAAGCTTTAGAGGTGTTACTAGGAACATCTTTAAAACTCTGGTTCAAGCCAGGCTAGCTGTTTCCGCCTGTTTCTAGTCATTATGCTAAGCTACTCTTAAGAGGAGAATGGTGTTGATGTTTTTTGGCAAGAACGCCTAACACTTCCCCCAGTCCCGTGCTGACAGAGAAACAAAACAAGTAGACTATGAATACATTGAAATACATAAATGAAATGTTTCAAAATAAAATGCTGATACAGACTTTTAGCAAAATGTACTTTTCCTTCATCAATCATCTTCTCCAAATGAAGTCAAGAAAGATGTCAACCAAAACCACTGTTCATAAATCAACATGATGCCTGGTACGTGTGTGTGTGTGTGTGTGTGTGTGTGTGTGTGTGTGTGTGTGTGTGTGTGCACGTTACCTGCGCTGACAGTAACGGCACTGACAAACTGCTCCCTCCAGCTGCTGCTTCCCACCACCAAGGCCAGGTTTGTCTTCTTGATCAACTTATCTACCGTACTCTACACACACACACACACACACACACACACACACACACACACACACACACACACAAAAACACACACAAAAGCAAACATGCGAGTGCATACAGACCAGGCAGAACAGGAAAGACACAACCCTCAAGTTGTTAAATTCATTCGCAGCAACAGAAACAGGAAACCTTTCAATAAGCTTCCACGCTACATTTAAAAGTCAGCATTTCGTGACACTGACAATTTGAGGTATAGGTTGCGCTAATTAATACAATTGCTGTGAAATCTAGGAAAAATCTTCAGGCAGAGTGGTTGAGTTTTCTGTTTAAAGCAGCGAGAAAGAAGAGTAATAAAAGATTTGATGAAAAACGGCTGTAGAGCACTAGCAGCTATTATTATAACCCAGCTGACAGAGCTTTGTGAGGAGAAAATCCTGCATGGTTGACTATCTAATAAGTGAAAAACAACATTAAAAACACAAGATTTACTGTGTATTAGCAGTCTTAGTAAGATAATTCAAATTAATTGGGGTGTGGGATAACAGTTAAGGATTTATAGATTGCACTGTGATACTGGACTCAGGCACCATTACAACATTTTGTACAGTAGCAGATTGAAGAACAAGCATTGCATGCACAGGCCAACTAAAGAGACAGATAAATAACCTTTTCAGCTCGCCAGAGAAGCGTATTCACTGCTTTCTGCAAACACACACCCACACACACATTCAAAATGACACAAATGGACAAATGTGCAACATAAATATGATTGGTTTCATTTTGAACACAAAAACTAAATCACAGATCAAAGGCAAAATCACTTGGAAATAAACAGAATGAAAATAAAGCAACACACACATGACATGACAATGCACAAAGAAATGAAAGATGAACACCAGACAGGCGCCCCCAGTTTGTGCTGCACACCCGAAATGTCAAATTATTTGTAATGATCCATGGCTAAATTACACACTGATCAAATCTGAAAACACATTTCTTCTAATCTACAGTATTTATTACTCCACTAAGCGAATATATTTTCTAATTTGCTGGATGAATAGTCTACCAGCGACTTTCTTTCTTTTAAGGCCTCCCTGTGACAGCTCCCTCTGAATAAATTATTTGTTGTCTTTTTCATGTCTGCTATCAAAATGACAAGCATCTCATCAGAGACGAACAAAATGAATCATTCATCCTCGAGACCGGGGCTGCTGACACTCACTTTAAACCATTTTACATCCAATTTGCATTTTAAGTCAGTTTACTTTATAGGTGATAGTAAACGCAGCTGTCTTGATAGCTGCCAAACTGGTGGTTATTATTATTTCATCAAGACTAGCTGTGATTTATTCTGAGGTGCCTTTGAAAAACAAAATTAAAGGAAGCACTTACAACGCACATAAACACACACATCCCTATTAACAGAGACGTAAATACAATATTTGCATAAACAAACACACTTACCTTAAACTCGTAGGACTCTTCTATGATCACCTCTACTTGTGTGTGTTCGCCCAAACTAGGGCAGCCCATCTTTGCCACCTCTTCCTCCTCTGCTCCCACCAATGGCTTGTTCTCATTGGAGTCGCCTAGGAGACCACAGAGATGAATAGGTTGCCAGTAGGGTTGGTGTAACCATGCAGAGGTTAACTTATAAGAATCCAATTATAGCCAGTTTTTTTTTTTTTTTTTTTGTGATATACCGCTATGCTCCTGTATACATCAAGCGCCAACCTCGGGGGATGAAAAATGGTTGATGCTAGAATGTATGGTCCAGAGGGACAGAGGAGGGACTGTCAGAAACTCGATGCTGCTGTGATTGGTTGTTTTGCTGTGAGGCAAAGAGTGTTGATTTTGACCACAGCCATCTCAGCAACATGCATTAAGTCCACAGCTTCACATCCAGGGGGATTTGGATATTGGAGGAAAGCCGACAGAGAGCCCTGGGCCGAGGGCATGAACCCCGCCGCCCTCTCACCCTCTCTCTGGTTCTCTGGCTGAGGAGCAGAGCACAGCCTGGGTCACTGGCCTCCTGGAGGCTGCTTGGGGGCTGTGGGTTAGAGCCAGGCAGCTGAAAGTCAGGCCAGGGGTCTGTGCCCACGGCTGAGTGCCTGCTGTCGGCTGACCTCCAGTGTCCCCACTGGAGGACAACTGACATGCAGTGTCCACACTAGATGTCAGCTTATACAAAATGATGTTTTGTTATGAATTAAACTTCCCAGACCCTGGCTCTCCTCTCAACCACTATGACCAGTTAAGCCTCTAGCAAGCCCCACTGACCCCAGCTAAGCTCTGCTTCTCTGCCAGAGAACCAGAAAGAGAGAGCAGGAAGTTGACAGGGTTCGTGCTCACAACCGGAGGCCCTCTGTCGCCTTTCCTCCAGTGTCCACATACCCCTCAATGCAGAGCTGTGGGCTTTGCCTCTTTTGGGGGGATTTCATGACCGTGCTGTCCAAACATTTGTTTGTTAGGATTAAATGTAAAATGCTTTGCACTCTGGCATCAAAGCATTGTAGGGCAGTACTTGTCCCTACAGAAAATCCATTCTAGCATCGACCATGAAAATGAAGCCAGTGTGGAACTGTCAAAAACAGCAGTTCCTTGAATGGCCACTTGAGGCTGGCTTCAAAAGTGAGTAAATCCCCATAGACCCCCTCTTAAAATGCCCAACTTTACAACAGAAGTAAACATGTATACAGCCTGGTACAAAAAATATTTTGGTCTGTGCAGCTAATTTCAGTTGTCATGGCGACTGTATGGGGGGTGAATTTTTATGTAACTCCTCCGTTTACATTTTACTAAGGCTTAGAGTTACACCTAAACGATGATGTGATGGCTTTGAGTGATAGGCTGTCTGCCTGGTGTCAAATATGGTCACTACTGGTCCCAAAATCCAAGATGGCGACGGCTAAAATGCCAAATCTGAGGCTTCAAAACAGCAGTCCGCAAACCAGTTCGTGTTGACACAGTTTTTTTATACAGTCTATAGTCTACATGACTTTTATTCTGAATAAAAGCATGTCATTTCCTTTGGTGAATATGCCATTATGTAGCCATGTGTTTTTGCTTGTTTTGTTTTTTTTCTTGCGGTTGGAAAAAGGTCGCAGATGCTGTATTCATATTATTCACATTATTGTAAATTGTGTAATATGCTTCACAATAACATTTCTTTTATGGGACCTTCTTTTCTTGCACTGTGATTTTTAATTTAAAAACAAGACCTTTAGTCACGTTGGGGTGAAACAAAAGTGTAAAAGTGTAAACCTAAATTTTGTGATTTACTAACTTAAGCAGGTAAAGCACTTCTCATCACAAAAGTCCAAGGTATAGGTTTCAAATTTTTGCAAACTACTGACAATAATATACCACTACTTTGACTAAGGAAATAGATTGTGTCGGGGGTCCTTTCATTTCAACTTCAAAATCCCTGGAAACCCTCCACTCATCAGATTTGCCTCACTTTTAGTAATGTGTCCGTAACAGCAACTATTCTGCTTGCTGGAGGATTTCTAATTATCTTCGTAAAACACTGGAAAACTAACAGAGACGGTACTGTCTGTTTAATTGACTAAGAAATTTCTTAAGTGTTCAGATAAAGTTGCTGCAAAGTGGGAAAGAGCATTTCAAAATAACAACTACCATAACACCCCAAGACTCTCATACAGGAAGAATTTTAAGTATTATTCCTGTAAAACAAACTTAAATCTTTGTGGTAGCCTAAGCAGTTCTTGCAATTAGTGCAAGACTCCTTATATCTGTGGGATTAATATGCAATAATGTGCTGTAGTATTAATACATTCAGCTTTTGCCTGGCTCAAATAATGTATCACAGGAGTTTTTTTCATTTGTCTGATTTTTGCCAGAGCAGCATTAATTGTTTCCATAGTGTTGCTGGGGTATCATTTTAAAATTGTGTGCAAGCAGTAGTGAAAGTCTATAATGTAAATGCTAATATTTAATAACACATACGGGCCACATGGGAAATCCAATCTATCAGCACCCCACGATGTTATTACAAATATGAATACCCACAAGGAATTTAGATTTTCTTCCATGAAACAACCTCATTATCTCTCCATTACCATGTGTTCCACTATGCATCCCTCCATTCATCCATACGTCTCCCCCCTCACCGAGTGCGGGGAGTGACAGTCATTAATTGAGTCAGCTGTTATCAGTGCAGACCTGCTGTAATTGAAAAGCAGTGTACAGTATGTGACACAGCCTGTGCGTGGCTCAGTGTGTGTATGAGTGTGAATGTCAGTCCACTTCCTATGTGACAGTCTTATAAAACCAATTATATCTCCTGTGCAGTGAAACATGCCCCGGGCTGTTGGCTCCTCTCGACTGACATCGAGAGTGTGGACCCTCACTCCACCAGGTCTGTCACCTTGTCTATGCAGGAGGAGTAACAGGAGCAGCAGGTTAGCAGAGCAGCAGCAGGAGTGCTGAAGCTCCTGCTACTGCTCTCTGCTGACGTGCTGCTCATGACGATGCCTTCATGTACAGTGTTGGGTGTAGGCAGCTCATGTTTCTTGCCTGATATCAGACAGAACTGTCAACTCATTACACTCTGTTTCCATCTCAGTCTGATACTGGCTCTACTCCAACCGATTTCTGTGGGGTAGGGGGATTTAATTTTCCCTAACCAATCACTGGAGACCAACGTATCCACATCCACAACGTATCTAACGTCACTTTAAGTCGACACCAATACATAGCCACGCCAAAAGATGTTTTTAACAAGGTTTTCAGAGTGCAGCAAAGCATTAGTCCCATTCAATGCGTTCACTGGATTGACTGGTTGGTTGACTTTTTCAACTGAGAAACCTCTGTTTCATGTCATGATGTCAGACAATCAGTTAATGCAGTGGAGCAGGCGGATTCAAAAATGTGGACCCAGGCAACCGTGTTTTGGCATCGCACAGACAACACACCATCACTGTTGATACCAGGATTACGAAAAAAGTAAATATAATCAGCCCAGGTAACATTAAAAAAATGTGTAATTAGATTATTGTGACATTGTCAAGGATTACTTAACCATATTATGAAACTTTTTTTTTTCACAATGTCTAATGCTACTAACTCATGAAAAGCGTGTCTGACATAAGGGGTCTCTTGGGCAAGTGCTCCATTTTGTGGTGGTAATTAAAAAGGGTAATTTGATTTGGCCAACTGTAAATGTTGAATATGCAAAACACATCTTATTTGCTTTTTTAAATTGAGATGCTTAAAGAGAAAAAGGACAATTTGTAAAACTCAATTTTTTGTGGCCGCATCCATTTTTATCATTCAAAGGTACAATATTTTAATGTTTAAATTTGAAGTTATCCAAAGTTATTTAGATTGGATTACTTTTTATGGTAATCCAAGGGATTACGGTACCTATTACAAAAATTCCTATGTAATTTGTATTTAAAAACAGACATGATTTCACAATAATCTGATCCACCTTGGTTACATGATACAGAAGAAAATGGACTTGAAGCATGAAAATATGTTTTGGGTTGCCTTCAAGTCTACAAGAGTAAAATATGAGTTAAGCAGCTCCTGTTGACAGCGGAATTAATTAAACAGATGCATACTTGTTCCATCAGATGCATGTGAGACTAAACACTTTTTTTTTTTTTTGCATAGACACACTGTGTGTGTTGATGTGAAGATGACACTTTGGGTTCTAGAAAATTTTGACAGGCGTTCTTTTCTGAAGTTTTATAGACCAACAATTAGTTGGTTGGTCAAAAAATCTATAACAGATTAATCAACAGTATAAATAATCACTAGCTGCAGTCTCACTTTTGTATTCTGAGTTGGGGAAGTGAGTGCAGATTAATCTGTGTGTGAGATGCTGTATCTTGTAGAGCAATGATCTATAGCCCAAACTGTTTTGGGTTGTGACCACTTGTTACTTACTCCATAAGTTTACTGGCTGCGCAGGAGACATAAGGAGCAAGTAACACATTTTTGGTTCCCTGTTAATCTTTTCCAACCCCTCAGAATTATCCTGCGACCCCTTGTAGGCATCCCGAACCCCAGGTTGAGAAAAGTCTGTTAGTGGTTAAATGTATGTAAAGGATCCTGTCAATGACACAAAAAGCAAACACACAGTGCTGCAGTCAGTAGTTAATTAATAAAGGAGAGAAATAATGAACTAAATGGAAGAAAGAAAGATGCGAAATTAAGTTAAATGAGACAAAGGAAATGTCTCTGTAAAATGAAACAACTTCACGAAAGTTACTCCAGATTTCTTTTTGTCTTTTATCATCTTGTAAACTTTCAATCATGTGGAAATTCAACAGAAATGTCAAAGCAGAACAAGCTGCAGAAATTGCTTATCGACTTTCAGCGCTGGTTCTCTTTAGCCTCAAGTCACCTGCCAGAGATTAGCTGTCTGCATGCTGTAATGAGCCTTTTAAAAAATTCAACTAAAGCTTCCTGCGTTTTAAAAAAGTTGAAGGGCTTAGATGTTTTAGATGTGTGGATTTCGGAGCTCTCCGGTAACGACGTTGATTCAGAAAGTAGGAAATGACAGTGCAGAGGAGGGAACCTGATCAAAACAGATCATTAAGCAGGAATGAACGGCAAATTGTGCTAAATCTGCTCTTTTCTCGCTGCTTAGTTTACAGAATTCTTTGCCATTATGACCACAGTGCAATAGTGCAGTGATTTCAGACACCAATATAGAGGCTTCCTGGCTATTTATACACTGTATGTGGTAAACAACTTTATGTATATGGTAATGGAGTGCTGCTCCAAACGCTGATTGCAATTGCGAAACAATGTGACAAGGAAACTGCTTCAAAAACACCTCACAGCCCTTCTTTAAATCCTGTCCAAGCTACATTCAAAGTGAAATGTTTCCCAAGTTAATCTGAGTTTAGATTGGAGGTTTCAGACGATTAGTGCAGGTCTCACACTGTTTGTAAGAGCTAGATGTGGCAGAGGCTTGATACTCCATTCTGTCTGTCACCCTGTTTCCTCTCTTGACTCTTTAATGTTCCCTCCAAACACACACACACACACACACACACACACACACACACACCTACCATGTTTCTGCCCTATCTCTAACAGAATGGGCTCTCCCAGCTCGATGGTGAAGGTCTTGTTCTTCTCATACTCCTCGTCATCAATAATCTTCACCTCGATGATCTTCCTGTTAAAAAGTGAGAAGGATGAGACTCGGTGAGTTTACTCCACATAATTAACCTTTTTAGTTTCATGCTGTCCTTTATAATATGAGAGCATTCATAGCAGAGGTGTTTAGAGCAGTCCATTAAAATTGCGGAGGTCTCACCCCCTCAGGCTGTAACCAGACAGGAAGTCATTTCTGCTGCTCCTCATTACTATCAAAACCTCTAAGCTAACAGTGCCGGACCTAATACAGTCGGTGCCCCGGGCAAGCTTCACCTTATGCCCCCCACTCTCAAGAAAAAAGGTACACAAATAAACACCTTAGCTGATAAACAATAAGAGAATATCCTCCTTATTATTATAATTATTCATATTTTGTGTTTTGCTTTTATTCTTTCTATTGAATTTACTTTTATTGTAATGGTTTTTTTTTAACTTATTTTTACCTCTGTTTCTCATTATCATCTGTGCATCTTACTTTAGTTCAGCATTACTGTTTGGCTCCCATTGTTGTATTGCCTCTGGGGTTTCTTGTTTCTGCTTTGCTTTGTTTGTCAAAGCACTTTGTAAACTCTGTTTTTATATATGCTATTTAAAGAAAGTCATTATTATCATTGTTAAATTTGGTGGTTACCTATGTCGTCTATTCTAACAAGTAACAAAAACAAGAGACAGAATTGAACACGATTAAGTTTGCACTCCTCCATTTCCTCTCGCAGAAGAAGATTAGGAGCCTCTGCATGAAGATGAAGGTTGAAGCCCAAGTTGACATTGCTCAGTGGGGCACTCTATGAGACTGCTACCCCCCCCCCCCTCCCCCCCTCCCCAGGCCCTGGTTACATTTTTCCCTCCAGCTGACAGTGATGCAATGTGCAGCACAGCCACAGTTGAGACATTTTCAATTAGGAGCACCCAGGGGAAAACCCTAAAATGCAGCGCAAAGAGTTTTGAGGGGGCCGCAACCAGACCTTAACAAGTTAATTGGAAAAAAAAAGCAGTGGGGATATTCAAAAATAGCAGAGTGTGATTGTGAGCGGTGTCTGAATGAGGAAATAGATGACGTGGCATTGTTATCAAATCTGCCAGTGTATCATCTAATTTGAACTTGGGAAATTTTCGTTAACACTGTTCTACTCATTGGTTAGTAAGGTCAGATATATTTTAGATCCTGCATATTAGTTGCATGTGTCACTTGAAGAAAAGAGCATTTGCAAATAGTGAAAAGAAAGATGGAGGCACACTCTGTCAGTTGGATGCTTTAAGAATACCCTAAAGTAGGCAGCGGTTACGAATGTATAAATGTAATAAAGGAGGCTGACAGCACAGAAAGTATTTTCATGACATGTGTATTAGTTTTGGCCCTTCACATCCGTCTGGCTCCTTCTGGTCTGTTTCACCCAGAGTATATAATCTTCATCTCAACTATCCATCTGCACCTGACAGCCAAAGAGGAAGAGAGAGTGTTCATTTCCACCTGGTTGTGTCATCATATGCCTCACTGTCAGCCATGTTGGCTCTGACACCACAAATAGGCTTTGGTTCAACAAAGAAAAACAGGAGGGAGGAGGGGAATGTGAGAGAGTGATGGAGGTGTGGAGAAGTGGAAGCGCATTGTTTTCATTGGTGAGCAGTCACAGCAACAGTGGATCAAACTGGCTGGATTTGCTATTTCCAGCTCATCAGGTTGAGCGGCCAACTCTCAACAATGTTGGAAAAGATATGAAAGTATTGTTTAGTCAGATGTGAAATGAGGGAGGAAAAAAAAACAACTACATGCAAATCCATTTAGTGAAGGACAAAATGGGGTGGAAGACATGAAATATGTTTTATATTTTAAACCTTAGAGCTGATTTGTTTGCTTTAATCACTTTCTGTCACATCTTAAAGTGTAAATAGACAAGTTTTTGCTCTTACTTTTAATTATGAAGTAAACATTGACTGCACAATTTAATGGCTATAGAATAATGACACCATCAGCATTCAGATTGTTTCCCTATAAGCTTTGTTTTAACTACGCAATTCTGTCTGCCACCAGATACGATCTTCTGGGAAAACGAAGGCTTAATTTATGGCACAAATGAACCATTGCATAATCAAAACAGGGTGAGGAGAGCACTTTTGTTTTCCCTGGTTGCTATTGGTAGCTATCCAGAGCTACCAAAGAGTGTCAGTGTAATTTCTGAGCAGTTACTATCCCCACTAGTGACAACAGGAGGCGGTACAGCTGCAAATCGATTACTTGTCAACTATTAAATCAGTCAACAACTAATTTGATAATCAATTAATCGGTTGAGTAACATTTTAGGTGAAAAAAAAAAGACAAAAACAAAACAGACATTTGAGGATGTCATCTTTGGCTTTGGGAAACTGACGGATCAAATTTTCACCATTTTCTGACATGTTGCAGACCAAATAACTAATTGATTAATCAAGAAAATGACAAAAAAGGAGAAATTGACAGATTAGTCTACAATAAAAGTAATCATTAGTTGCAGCCCTAGCGGGCTGTGGAACAACTGAAGGAACTGTGGAAACTGTGGTAGTTGCTAGACTCTGAGGCAAACAGAAAGCAGAAAGCAACCATGTCTTTGAGACAGTGGTGCCAACAATAATGCCACTTGAAAACGCTGGAGTTGTTGAAAAATTATTTTTTCACTTGGGTTGGTTACCGAACACCATTGGTACTATCGAGTACCAGTTAACGTTAAAGCCTTTAGTGCCAAATGTCGGCACCTGAGGGCTTATCTGGGCAAGAAAGCCGAGTTTAGACAAGAGCATAAGTGCCACAAAGCAACCCAAAGCCTGGAAGCCGGACATGGAGTTCCTAGGGTGGCAAGGGGGCTTCACGGAGCCAGCAGACTCAACTTTAGACAGGAGGCAGTAGCATACTGAAGCAAGGAAGCCAGCCTCGGAGCTCCGAGTCCACTCCGTTGGCTTCCTAGTGAGCCAAAGCTATAGCTGCAGAGTTAATCTTCCAGAGAAGTTCCGACATCTGGTCGATTTTCCTTTCTATTTTACTAATAGTCTAATATCACTGCTAGACAAGACACACTAACACACACACACACACACACAAGGAGACAGACAGACCGACACAGAAGATTAGCTCTATGTGTGATTAGAGAAGAGCACAGGAGCAGAATTGCATTTTTAGTCTCCTGCAGCTTGTTCAGAAATTAAGTTTTGGTATTACAGAGACAGTAAAGGTACTGTTGGGTAGCAGTACCAAATTCCAGGTACCGAAACAAGTACCCAACCCTAGATTCTACTTAAGTGGAATGGAAAGATTAAAAGATGTAGCAACAGTAACTAAAGGGGGGGAAGGCTCGGCGAACTGTCAGTTGACAGTGAGATGAGGGAGGAAAGGTAAGAGAGGTAAAAGGATAGGGAAATGAAAGCAGATGAGAGAGAGGATGGGAAAAAAGAGCATTTGATCAAATGAAAAGAGATGTACAGAGAGGAGTAGGAGGCAAGGAAGGAAAGGAGTGAGGAAGAGGAAGGAGACAGAGACTCAAAGAGGCTGAAAGAGTATGAGTAATGCATAGACTCCACTGAGATGTGAAGGGTCACGGCTCAATACACACTGAGTTCAGTCAGGGGGACAAAGCAAACACACACACACACACACGCACTGACGAATTACCATTTACCTTGCATTTACACACAAATCATATAACCTCCAAAGATAAGGTGCATACACACAGATATGTACACACATTATGTTTTTCATGCTTTTTCATTCACATTACACAGAGCACAGTTTGTATGAACAGAGAGGCAGCCACCCCCACATGTGCCCACGCTCTACTAGTTACACACAAACACGCAAACAATTCAGCTCAATGTACACAAACACGGCACGCATGAACACGCGTTCCTGGTAAACACTTGGAGGGTTCATAAACATATGTAAGCATTAATTTAGCACATTAACACACACACACACACACACACACACACACTGACTGCAGTGCTTTCATTATTCATAGTTAGTGCTGGCTGTAGCAGCACTCCCATCTGTGCCCTCCTCTCTCCATCTCTATCTCTGCCCTCGTCCCTCCTCTTTCGGCTCCCTTTTCACCTCGTCCTCGTCTCTCGCTGACTTTGTTTCTGACTGTCATCACATGGACCCAGTTCTTCCTTTCTTGTTTCCTCCATTTTCATGCATGTATTTTTAAACACAGCTTATTCTGCTCATGGTCACAGGAGGTGAGTTTCTATCCCAGTGTCTCTCCTCAATTATACATGAGAACACATCTGTAAGTGATATTAAGGATTAGGCGTTTAACACCTTTCTTGCTCAGTTATGTAGTTAAAACAGTGTTTGAGAAACTGCTCCTCTGTGGGGTTTTTGAGTGCTTGTGTGAGGCTCCAACATCAGAGACTTGAAAGCTATAATACTGGTCCTGGGGACTATCAGTGGTGGTCCAGGTCTTTGAGTGTGTCATTCTGAGGTTGTGTAAAGCGTTATGAGGCTCTGGCTTTAGATGTAATGCATTTTATTAAAGTTTTCTGACGCTATGAGAAGCACACCCAATCACACACAACTCTAAAAATGCTGAGGGCCGCTATGTTCTAAGACTTATTGCAGATGTGGTCCTTGATGTAAAGATGGCAAAGATGTCCAAGGGATAAGGCAGCACTGAACTACCAACAAACTAACACAGTAAATACCTCAGAATAAAACATCACCAGTAATATAACTCCAAGTCGAACTGTGAAGTCAAACTTCACAAAATGAATACTGAAAAAGGATATCCAGATTATAACTAGGATGATAACCTGACACGTAACATCTTTCCTACAAGCCACAACTTGACATTCTTTCTTGTGACAGCAGTGTGGCTCTAGGGATGGCAATGTCAGTCTGTCAACTGGTCCAGAAAGAAATATCTTAACAACTCTGAGATGGATAGCAGTGAAATTTTGTGTGGATATTCATAGTTCGCAGGGGATTAGTCCTAGTGACTTGGGTAATCCCAGTAGACAGTAGAAAACAATGAACATATCATACTGATGTCA